TTTCCCCCCCCCCCCCCCCGCATTGAACCCTTGCTTGCTTGCTTCAGGTTCCTATGGTTCAACCCTGCGGTTCAAGTCCGTGGAGCGGCTGAGGAAAGTTGGTAAAAATACAGTGGTTGGTGCTAGCGGCGAGATCAGTGATTTCGTATACATTATGTCACTGCTGGATGAACTTACGTGAGTATATAGTCATAATAATCCGATCCTGTGTTCTCAGGATGCATCCCTCCCTCTCCTCCCAATCTCGCCCCCTCTCTTGCCTTGATTGCATTAGTAGGTAGGTAGGTACAAGTACTTACAAGCATGTGTGTGTGTGTGTGTGTGTGTGTGTGTGTGTGTGTGTGTGTGAGAGAGAGAGAGAGAGAGAGAGAGAGAGAGAGAGAGATTGCATTGGGCAGTTGCCTACACTATAGTCTTGGGATAATTGATCGGTGCAGACGTAACCGCACTGGCTTTACTTGTGCTTATTATTATGCCTGGTTGTTTTGCTGATTGGCAGGACACTTGATTACTGCTGGGGAGATGGCAAGGAGCTCAGCCCAAAGGAGGTGCACTCGTATTTGAATCGAGTGATGTACAATCGCCGAAATAAGTTTGACCCGTTATGGAATGCAGTCATCGTTGCCGGCGTGCACGGTGGCGAGTCCTATCTCGGAGTCGTCAATTTGATTGGTGTCCATTATGAAGATTCACATCTCGCAACAGGTATGTGTATGTGTATATGTGTATGTGTGTGCCTGCTATTCACAGACTCACTATTCAGTCACTGGTTGGCTATTCACAGACGGACTGGTGTAGCTATTCATTTACATATCCTGTGGCTATTCATAGACGGACTGGTGTAGCTGTTTATTTACATAGCCGTTGGCTATTCACAGACGGGCTACACTGGTGTAGCTATTTATTTACATAGCCTCTGGCTATTCACATACGGACTGCTCTAGCTATTCATTTACATAGGCCCCTGGCTTTTCACGTATGGACTGGTGTAGCTATCTATTTACATAGGCTGTAGCTATTCCAAGACGGGCTGGTGTAGCTATTTATTTACATAGCCTCCGTCTGTCCACACAGACGGACTGGTGTATGTGGCTATTCACAGATTGACTGGTATATTTGCATAGCTTCGATAGCATCTGGTCATGATTGTGGTCAGGTACAACACATCTTGCGTCTATTCCCAGTCTGTGGCTGGCTATTCACGGGGTCACTGGATGCACATCAGGAATGGCAAGTGCAAACACCGTTCTATTGTCTTCACCTGAATAGAATGCCCAGTCATAATAGTTGTATTCGTGTAACTTTGAGTCTAGATACAGCGATAATGACCGGATAGGTGTTCTATCCGGGTGAAGATGTTAGTTTAGGCTGGCTATACCCAGACTCACTGCCTGCCAAGTGAGCTTGTGGCTATTCACATCCTCTCTCTCTCTCTCTCTCTCTCTCTCTCTCTCTCTCTCTCTCTCTCTCTCTCTCTCNCTCTCTCTCTCTCTCTCTCTCTCTCTCTCTCTCTCTCTCTCTCTCTCTCTCTCTCTCTCTCTCTCTCTCTCTCTCTCTCTCTCTGTGTGTCTGCAGGATCCTCGCGGCTGCCACACGGGCCCAAGGCCCATCCCTTATTTTTCCCGGGCCCCGCAGGCCTTGCAGCCCCATTTTGCAGCACGACCTGCATGGCGGCGGCCACATCTTTTGGACACAACTTGGGTTGTTTTGTTGAGGGCTTCGTTATTCTTTATTACATCATCATTATTATTATTATTATTATTATTATTTTTATTTTTATTATTTTTATTTTTGCTGACTTATTTTTGTCTGTCCTATGTTTGTCTGTCCCAGTGACGTTTCGGATTGTTGTTCTGTCCGAACAGACTTGTGCCTGTTCGGACCAGTAGGCCTTTCCTGCGCAAACCCGCAAAAGAAAAACTGAAAAAACGAACAGAAGACAACTCAATTTCAATCATTTGACAAGATTGCTGGTTGTTATTTCGTCTCATGGCTCTTTTCTTTCCCCAGTTATTTTTTCATTTTGTTTATTATGTTCCTATGGGGTTCGAACTCAGGCCTGGATTTCAACAGTTCATGGGTGTACGGACCGAGCCACGTGCGTTAGTTGGCTTTCACATTTCGATCATACATTTTTAAACTTTAAATACTTCTTTTCTTTTTGAGTTGAATCATGCCTTTCTTTCTTTCTTTCTTTCTTTCTTTCTTTTCTTTCTTTCTTTCGTCCTTTCTTTTTTTTGGTTTAGTCGTCCATTTTTTAGCTTTAGATAATTAGATTTCATTTAAATCTAATTTGATTGAACATGGCTCTGATGCTGACGATATGGATGACCGCGACGACTCTAATGACGATGACGAGGTCGGAGACCTTACTGTATGATGTGCGCTGTTTCCCTTTTGACTTTTGATCGATGGCTGTGGTGAAATGTGTGCAGGGTTTGGCAATCACCTTGCCCGTCCTATTTTTCGAGCGGAGCACAGAGTGGACATGACGGAAGAGGAGGCGATCCGTCTGCTAGAAAAGTCCCTCCGAGTTCTGTACTACCGTGACAAACAAAGCATCAACAAATACCAACTGGCAAAGATCACGGCTGAGGGGACGCAGATCAGCAAACCTTTTGCACTCACCACCGAGTGGAGCTACACTGCATTCGAGGATCCAGCGAAGGTGGCCGTAGGGACCTGGTGAGGAGGAGGAGGAGGAGGAGGAGGAGGAGGAAGTTTCCACACTGCAATGGTTTAGGGGCTTATGTTGTAGTAGATACGAGAAGGGACACAGCAAGTGGAATCGGTGGATTATAATCGGAATAGGGATCAACAGAAATCTGTCCGGCCGTCAGATCGCGATGTGTCCAGCCGTTGGATCGCGATCCGTCCAGCCGTCATTGTCTGCCATCTTTCCAGCTGCCTGACCTGCAGTTCTTCTCCAGCTGTCTGATTGGTATCTGTCTGGCCGTCTGACCGGGATGGGTCCCGCCGTTCAGTTGCGATCTGTCCAGCAATCTTGGACCGCCATCTGTCCAGCTGTCTGACGGCCGCCATGACCGCCAGCTGTCCGACCGTCGTCTGTGCAGCTGTGTGACTGTCGTCTGTCCGGCCGTTGTACTGCCGTTTCGTTTTGCATTTCCTGATCGCATTTCTGTCCCTTAGCTCTAATTTGATGATTACAGTGGTTAGAAGGTGACCCCTTTTTTTTCAAAAAAAAAAAGATGACGGTGTTTTTGTCTTACAGTGGTGCAGTTGCTTCTCTGTACTGGTTTGGCTGCAGTGGAAATCGGCAGCGGTCTTTCCTGTCAGCTCTCTCTCTCTCTCTCTCATTTGATGCTCACGGCTTTCTTCGACTCTGTGTTTGCGTTGCATGTGTACCGACCCCTGCAAAGGAACTTTGAGTAATGCCTCTGCTGCTCCTATGAGCATCGCATCGTTCTTCATTTTACTGTTTTATTTTTTACACAATTTTTTTACAGTTAATAATTTTGTTTTTCAGTTGAGCAGTCGGATGCGTTTGGTTTGGCTGTGCAAAAAAGCCATTGACGCAGTGTGAAGACGGCCCCTTCTGAGAAAGAAGAGATGGAAGGTGGGAATATGAGCACAGCTCTATCCTGCCGTCTTTCCCCTGGAATAGAACGTACGATCATTATAGGTTTGCTTGGGGCAATTTTCAGTCTAGGTACAGTGGGGATGACCGTACGTTCTATTCGGGTTAAGACGGTAGTACTGCATCGCCAATTCCGCCTGGTCATTATCGATGCGTCTGGACTGAAAGTTGTGCCAATTTCACAGCTATAATGACTGGGCGGTCTATTCGGGTGAAGACGGGTAGTAGCTCAAAAGTTATTGTGCGGGGTTCTCTACGTCGCCGTAGATTTTTGGCATGTTCATTTCTTGCTGTTATTGAGATCAGGATAACACATCCATCCATCAGTTTTCTGTGGGTGTGGGTATAAGCCAGTGCTCTGTGCTAGCGCCTTCCCCCGAAGAGAACGCCTGGACATTGCATGTGCAATTTTTTGGAAAAACTTGTCACAGTGATCTAGGTGGACTGGAAGTTGGCCGGAACACAGCTATAATGACAGCGCATTCTATTTGGGGGAAGTAGGTAATGTTTTATTTGTTGTGTGTTTGTTGAACTTCGTTTGTTATATTGATTTCTTGTGTTTGTGCTTGTGATTGTGCTTGCTTGTGCTTGTGCTTGTGCTTGTGTGTGCTTGTGCTTGCGCTTGCGCTTGTGTGTGTGCGTACGTGTTGAGGGTGTGTGCACGGAGGCCTGCCATAAAAAGATGCTATGCCTGCGATGTGTGTGTGTGTGTGTGTGTGTGTGTGTGTGTGTGTGTGTGTGTGTGTGTGTGCGTGTGTGTGTGTGTGTGTAGAGGGTGTGCATGGAGGCACGCCATGAAAGATGCTATGCCTAGCCAGCTGCGATGAGAGTAGGCGCAACGTGAGGGCTCTGGCGGGAGTGGTTAACTGTCAACAGAAACTCGCCAGGGCGAGGCCAAAGGGTCGCAGTGTGCTTCGTGAAACGCCAGTAGGCGTGGGACAGATGCATGCAGTAGGCTAAGGCAGGGAAAGACTAAGCCGGAGCGTCTACGCCTTGAATGCAGCTACGGACGAACCAGAAGACATACATTAGTACATCACTAACAAATGCAGAAGAAGGGGGGTTGTGCGCACCCCCGGCGCTGCAGGGAGGGGGAAAACAACAGCATATGAGAGAGAGAGAGCAGGGGTCATTTCAGAGTGAATTTGGTGCCATTTCTGTTCCAGATTTGTGCAGAAATGGGGCCAGATTCATTTGAAAATGACCCCTTCTCTGTCTCTCCCTCTGATACATATATACCTGTTTGACGATATATATAACGATATATACCCCTCGTTTGTTGTCCTCTTCTCCCTCTCTGCCTACGGTTTACCGGGCAGTTCTATTTGACGATATATACTACGACTTCGCTAGCTTCCTGCTACGGTTTTCTCCGGTCAGGTCGAGCGGCAGTGGTCGGGGCC